GGCCTTCATGGGAGAGGATTAAGACTTCTCTTGTAGGCTGAGGGTGATCCCATTCTGCTGTGAGGGATTTGTTTCACATTTCCTAGTTTCTTAGCACACACATAGACAACTCAGCGAGAGTGAGTAATGGGAAGAGTGTTTAATGCACAGAGGGTTTTGCAAGCCAAATTCATGCATGAAAACATTACATCTATGATACTTCCAATATCTATGTAATCTGTTTTATCTCTGGTTTTCTGGGATTCTTCCTGCAGTCTAAAATACAGCAGAAGGTGCTCTCCCTTTCCAGGGGAAAGAATTTACAAGCATTTAGTTAAACAAAGAGTCTGAGAAACAATCATTTTGCACAGAGGAAAGCTATTTAGGGAAGAGATGTATTTACTGCAACCCTTTTTACAGCTAAATACAGTTAAACTGTGGTTAGGAGTCCATGAAGAAGATGTGGTGTGGTCTTTGTATTCCATGTCTTGCTCTATTCCCCACCCATCTGACACTGCTGGCTTCATTATTTGTAAAAATCCTGTGGGATGGTTGGCTTTGCTGTACTTTTATGCTCTCAGGGTACCCTTGAGATAAAGAAAGACATATCCCGGTGCACCCTTTTTGTGCCAAAGCCTACGTGTCTCAAAAAATGCAGTTCTTGAGAATTTCATCCTAATAACAAAAGGTGAAAAGTATGTTCTTAGTTTTGCTGAGAAACAGGGTATCCCTAGCTATCTTCAGGAATTTGAAGAGGGCCACAGGTGTGCCAGAAAACCCTCTGAGAACGTATGGAATTTAACTTTGCTTCCACTATGAGAAAATTCATTTTGAAAATTTGTGTATTGGAACTGAAACTGGAACATGATGCTTGGGTTGCAACACATCTTCAGAGAGAACATCTTTAAGGACTTGCTAAGAGTGCTTTGTATTTTGGTATAGCACATCCATAATTCATTTAATTCAGTCAGGTTTCTGGGAAGTGAGTCAGATGATGATTCAATTATTTTCAGCACAAACAGCCTCTGAAGTGTCATCGTCGGTATTATCAACAGAAGTGTTCATAAACTGATGCCACTGATTTCCCACATCTCTTGGAAGTGATATGGAGGTTTGAAACTCTAATGCCTTCAACTGTGGCTACAACTGTAGCCCAGGTCTCTGACACACCATGAATCTATCAAAAGCCATTCCTGGTGTCACCATGCCTTTTAGTTCAGCGGTGGGCTTTCTGAAGCACGGTCGACTGTAGATGTGTATTGTGAGGATGTTATTGTACAAAGGCTGCTGAGAAAATCTTCAGAGATGGGAATGGTGGCAGCAGCGAGGGAAACTCAATTATTCATGCTGTATTATGACTTAAAAGAAATTCAGTCTTTCTGAAAGTAGAACATGGAGGGAATTGTTAAAAAAAAAAGGGTGGAAAAAGGATCTCCGTGATATGATCTGTCAAACTCACAGCTGGGAGGATTTGAAAGGATTGTAGGCTCCAAGTGAGAAAAATAAGAGACCTTTCAGAAAGTTCAAGTAGGCTGGAAACCACCTTAAATGCTATTTAAACTTGCCTGTAAAAGAAACTAGCTTACTACTATGTGTGAATGTTTTTTCCAGTGTACTTTAGCCTACGTAGACATTTAAGCAAACTTCTTAAAACATTTTTACTAGTTATTGGATGTGTGCCTAGAAAAAGTACTCAGTCACCCAGTTCTGAAATATTCAGTGTATCTGCAAAGCATTTTGAGAGGATACAGCAGAGAAAGGTCTTGGGTTAATTCGCTGCAGGGTTTCTTGTGAATCTTTCATGTTTTCTGACAATTTGGACCATGTTTGTTTTGGTAGCTGGTTAATATGAAACCAAGAAATGGACAAAAGCTTTCAAATATGTTTGGCCTCAGCTCTATGAAACAAAAATGTGTGATGCCATGTAATGAGGAGATGCCTAAACTGAAAGCAGCTGGTGTATGGGAGAATGTCAGTGAGAGATGCTTAGCTTGGTCCTAACCTGCCATCAGAACCATTGTGGGCATTTGTCAAAGACAGGGCTGGACTTTCAGTGGTGATGTGCTTCTGATTGCAGGTCCCATGAAGCTCCCAAGCTGTTTCACATGGCCCAGTTTCCCAAAGGAAACTTTCAATTACCTTTTAAGAACTCTGATCCCACTAGCCATGAACCCAAACCTGCAGGTAGCCAAAAACTGGTGGGCTGTGTATCTCAAACAGTCAGGAGCTTCATTGGGGTAGTTCATAGGCAGGAGATGACACTAGATCACTAAAGGTGTGTTCAGCTCTGTAGCAGGATGGGAAAGATCTTCATCATCAGGCCAGAGCCCCCCTGCTGCTGGTCAGATGAAGTTTTGGGGTCTAAACTGCTAGCAAACCCTCTTCAGTTCAAAAGCTGCAGGTTGCATGTTCCTGACTTAAATATTAACAGACTCATTAGTAAGGTCAAGAACGACTTGCAAACAAGTCACTGAACTCTCTGGTGCCTACTAATTAGTTGTAACAAAGAGTGGGGGTAAACATGAGCTGTCTAATTTTAAGTATGGGAACGCCAACCCACTGGGCAGTGGAAGGGGAGGAAGGTGTCACACAGATGGTGAACAGCTGTGAGATGAAGCCACAAGTACCCGAGCCACAGTATTGCCCAAAAAATCTTTGAGAGGGGATTCTCTCTGGAGCACAATATGACCTGGATTATATATCCTCAGCAGATCTCTCGGCCCAAAGGTAAATAGTAAACTATAAATTCCCACTGGACTTGCCTCCTGCACCTGCAGCAGCTTCTTCATATATTGAAGAAGGGGTCGGCATGGGCTCAATAGTCACATTTTACATGTTCCCCTCAGTTTTGATTGTGAATGCAGACTTTTTTTCCCACCTTGTGGAATGCCATGCTGGAGCTTTCGGCTCAAACAGACCTGCATGGTTGTGTGGAAAAGCCAACTCTCACTCAGCTTCGCATCACACCACTCGTTTTACAAGCCAGTCCTGCTGGGAATTTGTCTCCATTTAAGGGACATTTCTCAAACTGCTGTTCATGGGCTGATTTCTGGATGGCCAAGGAAGGTAGGTACATCCCAGGTTTACCACAGGTTGGTGTAGAGGCTGAGTCATGATGATTCTGTATAGAAACCCTTTTAGAAGAGGGTTTAAAAATAAACTTTCATGGTTTCTCTAATAAAAGGTTTCTAAAAGAAGATGTGTTACCTTTAGCAGCCAAAGGCAATGAAGTTGTGCTTTTTACTTTAAAAAAAAACAAACCTAAAATAGAATATCGCATTGGTTAAATGTTTCCCCTCTTGATGGCTGAAAGTGCTATGAAATATTGACCGGGTCTTTGCTTAATTGTGTGTTGGTTTGTTTCAAATGAAGCATGTTTTTCGAATACTAATTTTGGGTAAAAAATAATTTTTCAGTTAGTCTGTGCTTGCATGGAGGATTAAATGATATAGGGAGCTCCCTGTGTTCTCCCCAGAAGCTTGGATGATTTATTTCATGAGTGCAAATGTATTTTAAATACAAACTGGAGAGAGTAAGACATTCTGGGCAGGGTTTTTTTCTAATATTTTTCAGGTTACCTGTAAGAAATTTTGTTACAAAAGTCAATAATAGCCTACCATTTAATCAGTTATAAAAGGTTAATGTAACCCTATATAACGTGCTTTCTTGGTGATAAAAGATTATGATTTTTAATTAAATAGATTATTTCCATACCCCAGGAAAAAAATGAGATAAAAATGTAATAAATACATTCCAGACATTGCTTTTTTCAAAGTATGAATAGAAATATTTTGAGCACTTACTAAACAGCACCTTTTAGGAGGGAGAACAATATTATATATTGATTTTCTTAAATACGTGAGGCTTAAATTTTTCTTGTTATTTTTCTTATCCCTCTCTCTGGAAGTTGGTTTTGCTGAAGTATTTGTTTACGATGTTTTTATCACACATAGAAAGTTGTGTGTGTTAGATTGGTATAAAAAGTATCTGTTTTTTTTTTCCTCCAGATCGTTTGTTTACTGAAGCTGTAAATGGGTTCTATAGAGTTGCCAATATGTTATTAAAAGGAGACCTCTTAGTTCAATTTGCTTCTGCTGCGGCTTTTGTCATGTTTGTATTTTTCTGGCTTTCCACTCCCCATAAAATATTCTAGGCGAGACAAAACATCATTTTCAAACTCACACGTTTTCCCCCAGAATGCCCCCCAAACCCTAAAGTACCAAAACACAAACTTTTCTTTTTAATTCTCTTTTTTTTTGATGAGCCTTTAAAATCGGTTGTAAAGAAATCACTTTTTTGTTTAGTCCCTTTGCCCGTGGATTACAGAGAAGCCATACAACTAGGTCCTTCGTGTCCTTGGCATTGGTCCTTGGTTTAACAGCAACACACAGGCAACTCCTGCCATTTGCTGCTAATCAAACCCACACGGGATGGTGTAATAAGCTTTGTATCAGTTCAGGGGGTTGAAGATAACATTTTATTGTTGGTGTGATCGCACTTGTGGTGATAGGAACAGCTAAGCTATTGGCTAAATGAGGTAGTACTTTAGAAGTAGGTGACTAGAGTGTATCACCTCTTTTTTTGTGTGTGTTATTGTGGTACCTTTGCTCAGGACCTGCTGCCTTTCTTTGGGGCCTTGGCCTGACTAAACACGATTGCAGGCTTTCTTCAATATGCAGTCTGTTAACGTATGCTGCATCATCATCATCATCATCTGCCCTGTATCCTAAAAGTAACATTTAGATTTGAGTCTTCTAAGGAAAATCGATTGAACTTCTCAACTTGCCTCTTAGAAACACCCCACCCTATGTTCTTCTGAGGAAGAAAACTGTGAAGAAATAACGTGTTAATCTTTTGATAAAAGAGAATGTTTGGATACCCCTCTTCTGAGAATGCTCAAAGCATGTAGAAGGCAAGGGGGAAGGAAAATCTATACAGCAGAGCAACTACAATTTGAAAGGTCACTCTTATAAATAAATTGCTGTGCTTATTTACTTCTTAACTGTTCTTTTTTTCCCCAGGTCTTCCCATTATTCTATGGGCAGTCGAGCTTTTTCCCATGACAGTATTTTTATACCTGATGGGAGAACAGAGAGCGAACAGGCCGTCCAAGAAATGTCACAGGAGAACGTTTTAGGAAAAGTCAAAACTCTTCAGGTAAGAAATTGTCAGCAGGAAAAAAAATATCTAAAATGCAGTAGAAAATTATCTCCAGAATGTGTTAAAGGTGGGTTGCTTTTTCAGTAGCCTCGGGGCAGTTTCTCAGCCACGTTAAGTTTTCTGGCCAAAAACCCATGTAAATAATTCAAATAATCTGCAGAAGGTCTAGGTTTTGGTCTTGAAAGGTAGGGCAGTGATGCTGCAAGCAAATCTGCAGAAATGACTAGAACTCATTTGAATTGAACTCATGGTTTTGGCATGTCCTGATCTTTATGCCTGAGACCTACAGATGTGGTGCTGAGTGAAAAAATGAGGGTGGTGCTGGTGGCAGGGAATGGCATGCAGAGTGAGACTTCTTTGCAAAGATGGTTTAATTATCCTTTTATACATACTACATTTTTTTTCTCCTCCTTTTTCTCCCTGTGCTTTCAAGGGTTCTCATGAAAGGTGAATGTGTTTATCTCTCCAATGCAAACAGCACATAAGTAACTGCATAAACAACATATTTGGGTATTTGCTTCCAAAGAGCTTTATGTGACCTCTTTTCCCTTCCAGAACTCTGTCCCATTAAGGCTCTAACTAACTTTTTGCTTTACTTCCTGAACATCTGTAAGATTCCCAGCTCTATGACTCTCTAGGCTCTGAAAGAGCTGTCCTTCAGAAGCACGTTCCAGTTTATTGCTCAGGATGCTGACATGTCCTGTCGAAATGCTGATAAATTTTTAATGCTGTGTATGAGCTGTTACCCTGTAGCTGACTAGTAAAACATCGTCCATTTCTTTTACCTCCAACATCTACCCGGGGTCCTTCCTTTCTGGTGAGTGAGAGATCACGCACGGTAAACAGATCTGACCTTCAGGATTAAATTCTTCCTTCTCCCTGGCCGGGTGCTGTCAGCAGACAGAGCACCTGGACAACGTTGTCTCTGCTGACTGTGGATGAACTTTGGAGTCGAAATGACACTAAGACAGTTCCAATTTCTCTGTGCTGTTTTTTCAGCTTAAATTTCCCTGGGTCAGGTAGATTCAATGCATGCTACTTTCCAGGCGAGAAACCATTGCATTTCAAATGACTGCTGACTCTGGGCAAAGACATGAGGTTAGTTGGACTTGTCTTGCAGAATGCTTGAGTGTCCTCTGGACACAAAGGCCACTGGCTTCTGTTGGATCTGTTGTCTTGGCTTCAGTGCATTAGCTGTTCTCTCCATACCTTTTCACTTTGTAGGAGTGACTTCTCACATTTCCAAACTCACCTTAAAATTCCCAATGGAAATTATTGCCTTCACTAAACTCAGAGGCATGACAAAAAGTACAGTTACTGTAGCTGCTAGGAACCATTGCCACTAAGCAAATGGTAACTCAAGAAAACTAAAGCAAGAATAGTCACTCTTGAAAATCACAACAAATAGCCAATGATACGATCTTGCTCATATGAACTTTGCATGAGCATTTTTTTTTAGGGGGTGGTTACTTGCATGTACTTTAAGGGGCAATGTTGTTTCAGTGGCTTGATGTCAAAAGTATGCTTAAATTTTAATTTAAAACTGAAGAACGGCAGCTTGTTTCTTAACATATAGCTGCAACTCAGTCTGTAACACCTCCAATGTTGTTTTCCCTCTCTGGTGATAATGGAGATATCCAAAGAACCCATTCAATCAGAAAGCAAATGCATTATAGAATGTAAATGACACTTCCAACTCTTTAGGTATTTACACATAAATTATACATTCATCCAAATGTCCATGGATTTTTTTCATAGCTCCATGAAAAGGCTTCTTATAACAAGCCCAGGTGCCTTATAACAGGCCCAGGCACCTCTTGTATCTGCAAAACCTGCTGCCCAGCATATAACTGTCCCCATTTCCCTAGTTCTGGTGGTTCTGCTGACCACTGAAGTGTTTCCCTCTTCCCGCCTTGCATTTCTGCCAACTTTGGAGTCTAGATGAAGCCACAAGAAACTGTTGTGTCGTGGTGCAAAATTCTGTGGCAGTCTGGGCAACTGGCCAGTGTGTGGACCTGTTCAGCTTCTTGCTGTAGGAATTATCTCTCCCCGACGATGAGCGTGAGGTAAATTAGTTCTTTCTGGAATAGCTCTCATTTCTTTTTATTGATTTTCAGATTGGGAGCATTCATCTTATCAGGCTTTCTATAAATGGATTTGGTCACGTTCAAAGGTTTCAGCGTGTGCTGGTAGTCAGGCTGAGAAAAGCCTGACTTCTTGTTAACCTCCTGTAGCCTCTGCGTATCCTGAAGTTGGTTTGTGTTGGCTCAGGCCATCGGCTGTTGTAAAAGGAGCCTTTTCCTTGTCCTTTGGATCTGCTGAGATTTATCATTACCTAGTTTTTAAGACCCGGTATAAAAAACCAGCCTGAACCTGTTCCCACTCAGAGATGGTACTCAGGCACTCTTACTCAGGTACACAGGTGCTCTTAATGCAGCTTCTTGGGATCTGGTGCTTTGCTTCTCAGGAAGGACTGTGAATGAGACCTAAGGAGTGGTTAAAATCTAAACCTAGCAGTGTGTCAGAGCAAACCTAAAACAAACTCTGGGAGATTGTTTTTCCATCTTTCCCTTTCATAAGTTAGGGTTGTGGGTATTTTTTCTCACATCAGTGTGCTACATCCACTTGCTCGTTTTTACAACTGTGGCTCTTCTTCCTTCTCCCAATATTTGCCAGGAGTGGTCAGCAAATGAACAGAAGACCCACAAAAACTGTAGGAGGTAAAATAGAAAGTTGTTTTGAGCCTTAGTAGCTTGATGCATCTAAGCCATTATCACCCTTTTGCTGTGACAAATCCCTGTTGTGGCACTGCTACTACCTCTGGAGGCAGGAGGACAACTTGTGAGCTCTTGCCCTCGCTGAAGGTCATCTGGCATCCGTGGGCTGTGGCAGTCAGCTGCAAGAAGTATTAAAGGTTGACTGTGGCATATGGCTTAATGCATTTAGGCACTACTGGGCTACATCATTTGTTTCATGTGGCCACATGGTTTAAAACAAACCCTCTGCTCTGTAAATTTGTAAAACAGTCATTTATCACAGAGATATTATGATAAAACATGTTTGGGGAATCCAAACTTCTTGGTCAGATTTTAAAGATCCACTTTTTAAATTCACATTTCCCTAGTTTTGTGATGATGAATGTCCCCCATCATTTTCTTCCTGTCAGTCCTAATGACTGTTTAGTTTTGGATCTCTTTTCTTTTAGTCATTAGCATATCTTAGCTAATGATCAAGCTGGTGCTTCCCCTACTACGCATCACACATCTGTATTCTACCAGCCATTCCCATTGTTGTTTCTGTCTGATATTGCCCATATCTCAACAAGGCTGCAAAGTCGTTTGCTAAATGTCAAAGCTGTTATCTTTTACAGAATTGGCAGTGAATTTTCACTCTGGGATTGCCCAGCTTTTTATTTCTTACAATCCATTTCTTTGTTGCCAATATTTTTTAGTGCCACTGCAGCCTAATTGTTTTTTTCACATTTAATAATTGTTTTCACTTTATAAACAAAATTTTTCATTTTTTCTTAATCATTCTAGCAGTTCTGGGGCAGCCCCTTTTTTTCCTATGATCATATTAAGTAAATATCTTCAGGCTTCTCCAGTAAGTCTTGCTTTTAACACATGAGTGTCTGTAAGTGGCCCGTTGCCACAATATACTGAAAACTTCATTTTCATCTGGATTTTCTGAAAATACCTATCACTAGAGATCCATATACGGTTTGCTGCTTCACCGATCTTCTATTTTGGACTCTCCCAAAATCTCTCGTGCTGTAATGCCCCAAACTATGTGCTATTCCAGCAATGGAGAGTGGAATAGTTACCTCCCTGCATCTTATACCCAAAACATCTGGGATGGTAGTTATTTTCCTCATTTTCAGTAGGTTTACATGTTAATTTAACTTTTAGCTTACTTTCTAAAACCCTCCCAGTTTATTTTCTCTCTGATTAAAAAAACCATAATTGCTTATGCGGGGTGTTTTGCTTGTTTGGATAAAGAAGTGGAGTCACTTCTAAGAAAGAAAAATTAAGGAAACTCTCCTTTCAGCCTAGAAAAGAAGTGATAAGAGAGAGAATGGGATAAATTTGCATGAAAACATGAGTGGAATTGAGAAAACACATAGAGGACAATTATTCAGTCTTTCACAGCATAAGAACACATGAGCATCAGTTGAAACTAGTAACACTTTGAAATCAAAATAGCTATTTCTTTATGCATAGTTGGACTGTAGAACTCATCGTGATACAGCACTGTTCTTTGTGAAATATTTGTAAAAGTTCAGAGCAATGAAACAAATTCGTAAAAGAAAACTTCCCAACTGGCTGTTGACTCCTGAAGTCCTCAGATGCCACAAATCATTGGAGCATTTACAAGGAAAATCTCAGTACAGGCTTGCCCTGTTCTGATGTACTCCCAAGGCGTTTGGGTTGTGGGTCACTGTGACAGACTGTACAGGACCAAGTAGAATTTCAAAGTGTGGCTCTTCTTAGGACAAGTATTATTGATTAAGTCATTAGTTCACAATTATATATAACTAGAAAACATAATTTCATTTATTTACATGTCTGGGCATTGCAAACAGACATGAAAAATAGATATTTATGTCGAAGGCAAAATATGACCAGCATTTCTTGTGAGACTTGCTTGAATGGAACCAGCTGAAATAGGACACTCCGTTTTAATGATTTTTAACTGAAGAGAGGAAGCAGCTCAGCGGATCCGGTTTTGGATCCGCTCCAGGCAGGGAGCCATAAGAACGATGTGTTTCCAGGGGGCTGAATCCAACCGGCATGCGAGCAGGCATGTACGCAGAAGAGGAGCCAAGCTGGAGTGAAAGAGGAGATGTACAGCCCGACCCGGGCTCTCTGCCTCTTAATATGGAAAGTTTGTTCTGCGGCGTTTCCTACGCAAACACAAAGGGCGCTTTGAAAGCCGAGGCTTCTTAATTTGCCGCAGGTGCCAACCAACGCAGAGCAATTTGACTTGGGAGTTTTATTTCTGGTGTTATTAATGGCCAACTGGTGTAAAGTTGTCAGTTAAACAGTATCACATTTTAGCAAATTATTTTGCATGAAGTGGGCCTGGTCCAGTTACTTTGGAAGATTTTTAAAACTGGATAAGTGCAAAATTTTAATTCTTTTTTTTTTCCCCTCTAAATTCCCAGTATTTCTTTGCCTTTATTAGATGCACAGCCCTGCCCCTCACCTCACATTGAATGGCACCAGAGGCCACCCAAGTTGGATAGCAATAGGAAAATTCTCATGTACCACTTGAATTTCAGAGGGAAAAATTCAGGGATGAGGTAAACCTGGTCTTTGCACAGCCTGGTGACCCTGTTCTGAACATCTCCTGTGTCTGTGGTCCCTCCAGCTGCTGTTCCATGGTGTAATTGACATATGTGGTAGCCACGCTGGTTTGGTGCTGAGGATGGTTTGTAAATCCTGTGGGAAATACCTGTCTGTTGGCTGCAAACCGAGGGACTGGGAAAGCCCATTGGAATTGACAAGGCTGGAAGTAGAAGCTGCAGGCAGGAAAAATTCATCTGTGTCTTTCTCCTTCTAGTCAACAGCTAAATTTCGGAGCAGGACAGTGATTTCTGGCTGCTAAATTATAATCCTTCTTGTACAAAACCAAAAGAGACCAGGCTCTTTTAACTGAGGCCAACATGCATCTACGGAGATTTCCAAAAGGGTATTTAAACTCCCTCTGCGTGGCTGTGCAAAGGCAGAAGAGCAAACTGTCACACCTGCAACTTCTAATGGCCAGAGCTGCAAATGCTCCTCCTCAGGCAGCCATCTCCCATGTGCTGTCAGCACAGGGGATTCCCAAGAACAGAGGATTTATAGTTCTGTGTTCAATAATTTATGTCTAAGTGCAACTTTTGAGAAATTTAAAGCAGGTGCTCCTTTTCAGGGAGTTTGGCCTCTTCTCAATAGAAGCAGCCCTGAGTGTTCCTCTTCAGCTTTCACATGGAGAAGGGGCGTGTGTTAGACTCGGCTTGTTTTGCTCATAATGTAAATACCTTTTTCTTTCTTTCCTTGCTTTTCAGCAACAGTTGGCCAAGAATATAAAATTTGGGCAGCCTCCACAAATGACAGTTTCTGTGAGGACAATGGGGGAGGCAAACGCTAGTACAGAAGAGGATGTGCTGCTCGGCAGCCCCATGGAGATGGAGACTCAGCAGGACGCGGTGATCTCAGGCAGCGGTAATAAAGTAAGCACTTTAAATCGACATATTCATGGCATTATAGCGGTATTAAAGCAGTAAAGTTCACTGGGGCTTAGCAGATGTCTCCAGTGAGGCGTAGCGGAGCTCAGCGGGCTGTTTTATGTGGGTGGGATCTCTCAGCTCAGGCTTCTTGGACCGGCGAGAAGCGTGTGCTCTTGGCATCCGGAGCCAAGTCCCACGGAATTACTGGTTTGAACGTCTGCTCTGAACTTCCAGCAAAGCAGACATCGCTCGTGGCGTAGCCAGAAGGCAGGAAATCTTTTTCTGAGAGAGAAAATGTCATGAAATACGGACTGCCCCGCATGGAAAGTCGTGCGCAGCGTCAAATGGCAAAAAGGAAAATCATTCCAAAAATAAAGGGAGCCTAAATCCGTAAAATCCTGGGTCTTGGGATAAATATTTCTTGCAAGTCAAAGAAGGGTGAAAACCATTTTGAGACTGCTCCCTAAATCCAAACATCAAGTATAATTCAAATAATTATTCAAATTATCCTTGAAGATTCTGATACTGGGAACTGTAGGCATTCAGGTGTCCAGAAGGGGCTTGTTCAGGCAGTGAAGAAACAGCAAGTGATGGAAGCTCTCTTAAGTCCTCTAAGGTGAGACTGGTTCTGTGTGTTGCTGTAAAGGCTCAAGGGAACCTGGGGGACAGGGGGACATCCTTGCTGCTTGGAGGAGGCTGACTTTGTGCCTGGGAACCCTTGGGGAACGCTCACAGGAACCCACCATGAGCATGCAGACCTCGAGATCCTGAAGGGACACCAGGGCATGGGACACTGCTGATGTTTGCTGGCACTAGTGCCAGCTGTGTGAAATGCCTGTGTTCAGCCAAACACACAGATGGGAGATTTACAGCTGAGGTGGCCCAAATTCTTCATCAGTCTCCAAGGGGCAACATAGCTCCTGTGTGACCACATCCTTCGTGGCTGTGGTTGGATCTGTCAGGGAGCCAGGGGTTTGGGTAGGACCTGCACTCTCACGCCTTGCCCTCAGCAGTCTGGAAGGATAAAAATGCAGTCAAAGGAAGGTATATTTCTTCTTCTTCACAAATGCTCCCTTTAGAAGCAATCAGTTAAGAGTGAATCAAGACCATCCTGTGCAGTGGGACTGTAGCACTGTGCTCTAGGTGACACTGTGCACCCTGCTACTAGGTGACACTCTGTGTTTGATACCAACAAACATTCTCTGCAGACAGTGTTCTTGTTGGGTCCTGCAGGAGACCTATATGTCACCTAAGGATCTCCTGCTTGAAGGAGAAAATAAATCAAGCACTAAAAAAACCACCAGTGTATTTTGTCTAATAGGGAAGGAGAGATTCAGTCCTTACCGCCTCTGCACTTGTAAATACTATGTTTTGAAAAGAAAATCAATGCCCCTTTGGAGAGCTCTTTTTCCAAATACTGAAGGAGCAAACGTCCCTGCTCAGAGGAGACTGCAGCCACTGACAAACCAATGCTACATGCATGGGCTCAGCCAGAGCACTCAGGTTTTTCTCTTACTGTGTGCAACTCACTACTGCTTTATCAGAGGTATCTGGTGCACGGCAGCTTGCCTGGTTTCTGCTCCTGTCTCTGCTGCTGGCCTTGTAACTCCTCTGCGTGGTTGTCTGCATAAATCCTGGGGGAACAGGGTGGCTTCTGCCAGGAGTTGATGGCCAGGACCACGTAGCGCTGCTCTGCTTCAAACGGGTTTCCTGTCTTGTTTGTGACTGTAGATTTTGCCGAGTGAGTAACTTGGATCAATGGCAAGAGTTCTGGGTTTCATTGAACCTCTACTTGTAAATTTGATATTATTTTTTTTTTTAGGCTTTGTACTAACAATCCTGTGCGCCTGGTGTAATGAGATCCCAACATTCATTAGGTTATGAAGTAACACTGTGATATAATGACTAAACCCAATGTTTCTGGGCGTGAAGGATGCTGCTTCAAGCCTTGCACCTTAAAAATCCCTTCCTGTGAGATGGTTTGGAGGGGGACGGTACCAAAGGAGTCCTGGGGACTGATGGGCTCTGATTGCTCTGGGGCAGGCAGTTTGCTTTGCAGGAAGAGAAGTCACCAAGAACTTGGAGTTGAAAGTCTTTGTGTCATGCCTGGTCAGGGTCCTATATTTTTTCCTTAGGTGTAGGTCAGGAAAAAATAAAGTTATTAGGAGCTGATTGAAAAATCGTCAAAGCTGTGCTTTTTCTTTTGCTTTGGAAGGTGGTTATCTTGTTAAGGAAGCGTGAGTGTTTTGCCTTTTATAATGTCTTGTAGCAGCAACTGTTTCTGTACAGACAGCAGTGATTCAGGGAGCAACAAAGAGAAAATCCTAGCCTTTAGGAACCAGAGTTGTTTATCCATCAATCCTGCAGTGACAGGAAACTGGGTAAAAATCCCACTCTAACTTGCACGATTTCACAAGTCTTTCAAACTGTATTTATTAGATCCTTTACATTTTAATATCTAGCTGTGGTAATCTTCTTGTTTTCTAGTCCACTGACACTCCAGATTTGTTGAGAGCAATGACTTTGCCTGGACCAGGACGTGACGTGGAAGAAAAGGTAACAAAACTTTTACACTCGGTTTCCATCGAGTTAATTCCTAATTTCAGTTATTAGAAGCCTGTCAGTCAGCTTTTGCTTTAGTGCAGACTTCATTGTTTCATGATCATCCCAGACTTTGTGAATGTTGTGCAGTTTGGGGGCTGGTAAATAAGCAATAACTAAGATTGAGAAATCTCTTCGAGTTGATTGGAGGAAAACGGCAGAACTCGGTCCCTGCCAGTCTTGCAGCATTCCTGCATTTGATGTATTAATCATAGAGCCATAATTTTCATAAGTACTTCTACCACTTTGTTATGCCTACATGTAATTCAATAAGAGTATGCAAAATGTTCCATCAGCTTTTAAGTAATTGGTTCCTTAATTAGCATATGTTTAACCTCGGAAGATTACAGAGCTGTCTTGAAAACAATGTATGTGATTTTCTTTCCTTACAGAAGATGTTTTCTCCCTTCTTTTTTTTTTTTTTTTTTTTTCTGTCTTCTTTTTCCACTTGGATTGTGCCAAGTGCCAGTCTGAGGGTGACAGCTCAGTGACTTAGGGGAGAGACTGATTACAGGCTCACTCTTGCACGTCTAGACGTACACTGTGCCGCTGCGTTCATTCATGAGAGGAGTCTCACTAAATCACTGTGGTTTTCCACTTTTCTGAACCCAAATATTTGAAGGGTACGAGGGAAAAAAAAAAAAAAAAAAAGCACCAAGCAAAGCCAGAATTGTCTTATTTTATTTTTTTGCTGTTCTTTGGTGCGAGCTTGGACAACCCCCCATGAGTTGGAGGGAAAGTTTTCTGCAGGCTCTGTGCCAGCCTGAGATCCAATACCGTAGTCATCTCCCAGGCAGATAATACAGCTCTGTAGCTGTTCTGATATAATGCTTAGATAAGTCAATCTGATTTGCTCTTGCCTAAAGTGTATAATCTAAATTATTTAAAGATGCAGATTTTTTTTTTTTTTTTTCCACGGTAAGCAAACTTTAAAATGTCCCCAGTGTTTGATGTTGCTTAAACCTCTGCCTCTGCCCTTCCCGTTCCCAGCAGCTTCGGAGCGGAGCTAAACTGTGAAAAAACTTCAGTTAGAACCATCTAAGTAATTTTTAAGTGCAAAGTATAAAAACACGTAGTACTGGAAATAGGAAAATATTACAGCTGTAACTTTCATGTCCAAAGTTCATGATTTGTATAATGGCAAAACGAGGTTTTAAATTGTTTCTCCTAATAACTCCTTTGAATTCAAAACTGCAAAGGCGCGTGCGTGTATTATTTATTTAGTTACTTTATTATTTACTTATTTAAATGGAACAAATAGCTTAATAATAGCTGCTTCTGCTTGTGATACAAACAGGTCACTCCGGTCAAATCATCTCGGCCAAAAAGACAATTTACCTATTCTGGCACAATTGAAACAATCAATTTGGATGCAGTTCCCCAGGCTGTTGCTCGTCTAGACAACAGTGCAGCTAAACACAAGCTGTCAGTGAAGCCAAAAAAGCAGAGGATGTCAAGAAAGCACAAGAGATTAACAAAGGTATTGAATCCCTGGTCAAACAGTGAGAGGAGGAGGGGTTGGTTTTGAATCTGGGTACAAAATAACCGTAACTGAGTGCACCAGGAGTAGCTATAGATGGGGGACTCTCTTAAGATGCAATTAATACCGCTAGAGATACCTATTGAAGGCTTCTTTGACAAATCTTCCGACTTCAGGGCAAAACAAAATGCACGCTTCTTTCATTTTATCTTGAAATCAAGATAGCCGCCCAAAGATGAAACGTTAGCTGGAGAGAAGAGGCCAAGAAGTTTTAATATGGCCAGTTGAGACAAATACTGCTTACACCTGAGGTGCTTCCGCTAGGATTTTACATGGGGAGACCTTTCTGATTATAGTTTTTCTAGTCAAAAGGGTAGGTCATAAAGATCTGGAGGATCTCTGCCACTGTTAATGCCACTCTGGTGCTGGCAATCGGATTTGGGTGGGGAAAAAAATAGAATCTCTAAAACTGGCATGGGTTCTGACAGTGATAATGGCATTGTTTTATAAGGAAGAATAAGACGTAAGTAACACAGCTCTTGCTACAGCTAGAGTGAGTTATCAAATCCTTGCTTTGTACGCTTACTGCATGGCTCTTTTGCTTTTTATCCTGCAACTTTCCAGTGCTTGTAAATGGGAAAAGACTATTCAGCTTACACAGGGTTCAGGAGAGGCCACTGCCCTTTCTTCCGCACCGTTGTGCTTGCAGTTATCACCCTCGCAACAAAGAAATTAAATTTAAACCTCTTGTTTGTACAGAATGTTTAACTGGAGCTGAATGATGGCTCCAGAAACGATAGCTAGACAGGGCAACTGGGAAGCCCTCTTCAGGTGCAGCTCATCTTCAGGCAGTGCTGCTGCGGGGACAAAGAGCAAGCTGTGAGGAAAATCTGCATTCAGTTTATGGCAGGTATTGCCCCCACATGCCAGGGCTGTGGGGCCAGCACAGAGAACCTGTGTCAGCAGTTGGCAGATGCCTCGGTAGGGCACAATACTGCTGGGGGGGCTCCAGGTTCTCCGTCCATGGCTCCTGCAATAGACCTGGAGCCCCAGCACAGGTAATGAGGAAGATATCCCAGCTCAGGATTTATGAAAAGCAACCGAATTGTGTTTCCCCAAGCAGCCAGTTCTTTCCTGGCCAGCGTGGCAGAGCTCCTTTCTGCAGGCAAGGGCTTCTTGTCTCTGCAAGTAACAGCTAGATTTGCCATGAGAGAGCTGGCAAAACAATGCCCTTAAGCAAATGATAATTATTTCGGGCTTAAAGGATGGAGTTCTAAGAACAGGCATGTGAAACTTGTGCTCTATTCCTTGGGCTTCTGTAAATGTGAAATGGCAGGTCTTGATCTGGATTAGCTCATGGACACCAAACGGTGATTCAATATGTAGCATTCTACTGTTACCACTGTGGGGATGTTTCCTTTCTTTTAAAGGCTATTATCCGAACAGGTGAGAGGCATCGGATCTATGATGTGATCCATAAATTGGTTGGGGTGTGTTGGCTCTGGATCTAAATCATTAGGGTTTTGTGGTTGTTTTTTTTTAAAAAAAGATTGTTTTGCATTTGCAACTGATTATTTGTTTTCTGTAAAATATAACAAGCCAATAGGCGATATTCAGTAACTCCAAACTTGTCTCTCAATTTTAGGGATCTCAAAGTCTAACAATAACAGAATTTGAGCCAGAGGACCTAGAACCTGAGCTGTTTGGAGACAGATACCCTGGTTATAATGGACACATCATAGCAGAGAAGCTAATCCAGAACAGAGATGAGCAGAAGCAGCTTCAGCTGGTGGAGGAGAAAAGAATTGAAGATCACTGGGGGATCTTTGAGGCTGAAAGGATAAGGCAGATTGTAGAAATGGAAGAACAAAGAGAAATGGAAGAACAAAGGTGCCAAGAACTTGAGCAGATGCACAAAGAGCAGGAGAGAAGGCGTTATGAAGAAGAAAGGAGGCAGTATCTCCATGAAGGAGAGACACCTTTGGAAACAGAAAAGAAGACATGTCATAAAGAGGGGAGAAGACTGCAGAGGCAGAATGAGTTGGAGGAGCAACAGGAATTAGAGGTGGAGGAGCAGAAGCACCAGGAACAAGAGGAGCAACAGAGACGAGAGCTTGAGGAGCAGAAGCGCCAGGAACAAGAGGAGCAACAGAGACAAGAGCTTGAGGAGCAGAAGCGCCGGGAACAAGCGGAGCAACAGAGACGAGAACTTGAGGAGAAAAAGCGCCGGGAACAGGAGGAGAAAAAGAGACAAGAGCTGGAGGAGCAGAAACGCCGGGAACAAGAGGAGAAAAAGAGACAAGAACTGGAGGAGCAGAAGCGCCGGGAACAGGAGGAGCAGAGACGTCAGGAGTTGGAGCAGCAGAAGAGGCAAGAGCTGGAGGAGCAGAAACGCCAGGAACGGGAGGAGCAGAGACGTCAGGAGTTGGAGCAGCAGAAGAGGCAAGAGCTGGAGGAGCAGAAGAGGCAAGAGCTGGAGGAACAGAAACGCCGGGAACAGGAGGAGCAGAGACGTGAGGAGCAGAGACGTCAGGAGTTGGAGCAGCAGAAGAGGCAAGAGCTAGAGGAGCAGAAACGCCGGGAACGGGAGGAGCAGAGACGTGAGGAGCAGAGACATCAGGAGTTGGAGCAGCAGAAGCGCCGGGAACAGGAGGAGCAAAAGAGGCAAGAGCTGGAGGAGCAGAAGCGCCGGGAAGAGGAAGAGCAGAGACATCAGGAGTTGGAGGAGCAGAAGAAGCAGGAGCTGGAGGAGCAGAAGCATCAGGAATGGGAAGAGCAGAGGCGCAAGGAGCTGGAGGAGAAACAGAGACGAGAGCTGGAGGAGCAGAAGAAGCTAGAGCTGGAAGAATTAAGGCAACATGAGATTAAAAAACAGCATGAAGAAGAAGAAAGAAATTGGCTGGAGGAACAAAAAGAACTCACGAAAAAGAATAAGGAAGAAAAACAGAGACAAGAGCTAGAAGAGAAAGAACTTCAAGAAGCTGAAATAAAACTGAAGCAGGAGAAAGAAGCTGAGAGCTTCAACCTACAGAAGAAAGAGGAGGAACAAAGGCAGCATTTGAAGGAGAAAGGAGAAAAGACAGAGAAAAAACAACCCCAGCAGGTAACAGAAAACAAAAAGAAACAAGAAGAGCAGAGAAAACACAAGCTCACAAAACAAATGCACATGGAAAGTGCAGATGCTATGCAACAAGATGAACTGAAGCAGCAAAGGGAACAAAACCAACATGAATGGAACAAGCTGAAAGAGCAGGAGGTAGGCACAGGACAAAATTTTCAGCAAAACCAACAAGAAAAGTCCTTGAAACAGCAACAGGACAAGGACCAGTTGTGTTCTGGAGGGGCTGATAGGCATCCAGTAGAGGAGAAGCTCCAAGAAGGTTCAAGAGCCCAAAAACTCAAACAGCCAGAAAAAGGCAATAAAACAGCAGAAGAAGTCCTAGCCCAGAAATTGAAAAGAGAGGTTGAAGCTCAGGAGCAGAAGCGAATAGGGGAAGAACTTAGGTGGCAAGAGGTAGACGAAAGGCAGACTGCGTCCAGACCCTTCACGTTTCAAGTGTCTTCTGGAGATAAACAGATCATATTTCAGAAAGTAAATCTGAGTCCAGTCATGCCCGCCAAAGGAGCATCTTCTCCATCCGTCAAAGACTACAGGACACACACCTCCAGCAAGGGCTCCCACACACTCCCATCATCTGTGTGTGTGCCCCACACGGCTATTTTGGTTACGGGAGCACAGCTGTGTGGCACCGCCGTCAACTTGAACCAGATAAAGGACACGGCTTGTAAATCCTTACTTGGCTTAACGGAAGAGAGAAAAAACGTGGATATTCCTTCACCAGAGAAGGCCCAGAAAAAACCCCAGGAGCCCAAGCCCAGCAGCAGTAAAATGAAATATGCTCAGGAGGCGTTGAACAACCAGGCTGTGCTTGCTGAGTGGGCTTCCATCCGCTCCAGGATCCTAAAGAACGCCGAAAACAGCAAATACAACGAGAGAGACCGGGTAAACGCCTGCAGACACAGCGATGACTGGACACCCCGAGGGAGGGGTGGCCCCCACGGCAACTTGAGGAAAACCCTCTCAGCAAACGCGAAGTTCTCCATAACACCAGCGTGGCAAAAGTTTTCAGAAGCTTCAAAAACCAGTTTGGATGGGGAGAATGTAAGCGCGGCGAAAGGCAACGAAACGGCGGCTGTGGGAAGAATCACTGGGCCATCCACCGATTCAAAGGAGGATGTGGCTTCCACTTTCAAGGATAACTTGGCTGAAAAGGCTAAGGAGAAAATGGAAACGCGCAGTGAAGTGACAGACAACACAGAGGGCTGCAAATTTGCAAAAGATCTTCCGTCTTTCCTTGTTCCAAGTTTTCCTCATTCTCCAGGGAAGGAATTACCCCAGGCGGAACTTCCCGGTGCCCCGGAAAACCAGCAGAACAACAGCACAAAAAAAGCAGACAAACCAACACCCAACGGAGAAGAGAACGTTTCTCCTTTTGGGATCAAGTTGCGAAGGACAAACTACTCTTTACGTTTCCATTACGATCAACAGGCAGAGCAAAGGAAAAAGAAAAGATACAGTGCAGGAGACAGTTTTGAGGGTATGCCGGACCCACTAGTTGCGGCAGAAGGTGAGAAAGAATCCGCAGTTTTCGCTCCACAAGAGAGCACATCCCCAAGGGTGGGGAGAGCGAACGACCACGGTATTTTAAAAGACTCCAAAGACTCTTCAGTTACTGTGGTGGGGATTTCACAACCGGCGGGTCCACCAGTGGTCCCTCCTGCCACTCACCCTCATGAGAAACCAGCGTGCAAGTTGCTGGTGTCACAGAAACCTGCTCTGGCTCCAAAGCCCACCAGCCAGACCCCGCCGTCCTCTCCTCTCTCTAAACTGAACCGATCCAACCCGGGGGACACGCCGGGGCAGAGGCTGGTGAAGGCTGAATCGGACGTCGGCTGGAGAAAAGAGGACCGAGGAAATGCAGCACAACCAGCACCATCCCCTGAGTATAAAAACGAAGAGGAAGAAATCAGAGAAAAGAAGTCGTTTTTCCCATCGATAAGTATTCCGTGGAGAGAAAAAAATGACAAAAAGCCTGAGCCAGTGAAGAAAGGTATGTATTTTTCAAAAGCCGTTTAGCTATTGTCTGCATTCCCACAGCGAGACACTGGAAGACCAGAGGAGGACATTTAGCCTTAAGCTATAATTTTGACCCAGTGTGTTATTTGTGGAGCACCACTACTTTGCTTAGGGTTGTCTCAATGAATGGGACTTCCCATCCCCACAATTTAATTCGGAAACACACAGATTAGTGTGACCAGCGTGACCTGCTTAAGAAAGTTAATTTCAAGGCAGTGACTGAAGTGTGTGTGTGTGATTTCCTTGGCAGAGACGTTACCTGGCTAGTCAGAGGATGGACTCTGTGTCCCACGTGTCAGCAGAGCAGAGGGAGTAATTTTTATAGTTTACATTACATTGCTTCTATCTTTTAGGGGAATATTATCTAGCTTAAAAAAATATTAAGATCTGCGTCTGCTTTTAGTGCCTATCCTGAGGAAATTCTCTGTCTAGCCCAAAAAAAGCTGGGCACAGGAGTCTGCATTTCAGAGGCACTCTTCAATAATAGAAACAATTACAGTAGCCATAGTGGCTCTTCAGAGGATGACTGAAAACCCCTGTGTCCTGAAATTCTGTACGAGAGGAAAAATTACTCTTTCAGCATAAGGACACTTAAAAGAGCAAGGCAGGAATTCAGCATTTAATTGGGAAATCCCAATTTTGTTTTCTATTCTTGAGTTTTGCAGGCATCAAGACACTTCTAAAATGATATCTCAGTGGAATGGCTGCTTAGTTTTTACAATTTTTTTACACTTTTTCCTTTCACTTCCACTCTTAAATGGGGATTTCTGGAAACTTGTTGGAGGCAGAGCTGCTGGGCCGGAGCTAGCTGGGGATTTCTGTGCTCACTGAGCTCTGCAGCAGCATCTTTGCACCCCAGTGCTGCTCCCTCCCACTCACAGCTCTGCCACCCTCTAAGTAAAGTTCCTCCTCATGTTTAGATGGAACTCCCTGTGTTTCAGTTTGTGCCCATTACCTCTTCTCCTGTCACTGGGCACCACTGAAAAAAGACCCAATCATCCTGACCTCCATCCTTTAAGTATTTATAAGCATTGGTAAGATTCCATCCTCCTGACCTCCACCCTTTAAGTACTTATAAGCATTGGTAAGATTCCCCCCTCTTCTCCAGACTAGAAAGACCCAGGTCCCTCAGCCGTTCTTCATGACAGAGATGTTCTAGTCACCTCACCATCTTCGTAGCCCTTTGCTCTACCCTCTCCAGCAGTTCCCTGTCCTTCTGGAACTGGGGAGCCCAGAACTGGACAATATGTCTGCAAAAACCAGGGGACTGCAGTACATAGTGGTATTTCATCCCCTTCAATCAGTGCCTATGTACCACTTAACTGTGGGAGTACCTGTAGTAAATTAGGCTACAGCTCTAAGTGCCTGGAATAGGCCTTTTTCACAAAAAAAAAAAAAAAAGGATACATTTGGAACCAAGTGTCTGGGGTAGGCTTTTTTCACAAAACAAAACAAAAAGGATAAATTTGGACAGGTGTATGCGTGTGCTGAATTAGGTTTTATTCTTGAGGCATAAAACCTGTTTCAGGATTTGATGTAGAGTCTCCAGGAAGGTCTGTGGATGGCGTGGGCTTAGCTCTGGAGTCTTCACAAGGTAGAGAAGTTGTACGGTTTTGCTTCAGACAAGAGATGTGCATTGCTTAACCAATTCTTTTCATGTTTTCTTCCAGAAAAGCCCGTCCTCCAGAGCAGGCACTCTTTAGATGGCTCTAAATTGATGGAAAAAGTTGAAACTTCACAGCCCCTTTGGATTACGTTAGCGCTGCAAAAGCAGAAGGGCTTCCGCGAGCAGCAAGCTACGAGGGAAGAGAGGAGACAAGCCAGAGAGGCCAAGCAAGCAGAGAAGCTGGCGAGAGAAAATGTAAGCAAGCTTTAGAAACCTGCCCCTTAGAAATGCTGATACCATAATTATAACTCTTTGCTCGTTTTATGATGCAAAAGGGATATTTTTTTTAAAAATGTTTGGTCTGAAAGATTTCATAAAAGCTGAAATGACAGTGAGTTAAAAATAGTCTGAAAGTCTTTTGCAAAAATACTGTGCAATAATGTGACAATTTTAGTGTAAACTCTGATGCCTTAATATCAGGTTAATGGCAGTCATGAGCACAACCCCTGTGCAGGCGATGGAACAGAAAAATTGTATGCAACATGATTCTTTCAAAGCTTGGGTAAATAAGAACTTAATGCTTGGGTAATAACAGCTGAAATATTTATAGGTGAATATTAGTACGTTTGAATTTATTTTTATTGTAGCGTATTGTTTGGATAAAATGTAGATGAATGGAAGAAATGAACTGCCATAAGAAACATCCAAATGCTTAAAGTGGGCACTGAATTCAAGCATCATTTTTTTCCTGTTCTCTAAATTGCTATTTACTATCCCTGGTTTTCTATCAGTAGCAAAACCAGTTCTGCTTACGGCACAGAAGTGATGCTACACAAGCAGTGACACTGTACATAGATACCACAGATGGGAAAAGGGGAGATTATGTGGATAACTAAGTATATTTTGATGTTTGTTATGAGACCCAAATTTCTGATGGAGGCATGCCTAATTACAGACATAGGTAATTGCTGGAAAAGCCCAGCAGTGGGTGCATAGTTGCACACTGGGTTTCAGGGCTGTATTTAACAGGTAGGGCCGGCTCAAAATGTCCAATATTTTGACCGAAATGACAACGTGACAAATTTAACTTTGTGAGGGTTTTTTTTACAGTCTTTAATAACTGTTAGTTTTAGAGGTAGCAGAGTGTTTCGAGTCTTTGCCCAAGAGGAAGGTTAAGGAAAGGACAGGTGATGAATGAAAGCAACATCTCTTACGTGTAGCCCCTACAGGACAGGCTGCTGCTCATTTAACTTTTTCTTTCTCTGTTCCAGGCTGCTCTAAATAATCAGTCAGAAAATAAAAGCAGCGGCAGCAGCAAGACAAACACACTGCAGAAATCTACGACGCAAGAAGGGGAGAAGAAAATCGAGACCGCTGTGTCACGACTAGAGAGGAGGGAGCAGCTGAAGAAGTCCAACACCCTTCCAACTTCTGTGACAGGTACAGTGAGAGATAAGGATTTTAACAGGTTTTTACCAGGTTCCCCAGGTTATTAAGGGTGTGCACTACTGCGTTTTACTCAGAATTGCCTCAGTTCAAGTGAAAAAAATTAGGCTGTCTCCCCCAAGCTGTATCCAACAGTATTTTTGGAACGTGACTAATGCACATTAGAGGGGTTTGATTTACTGCAAGTTGTAACTGCAGGACTGTTCTGCCTTTAAGTTGGGGGTTAGCACAGAGGGGGGACGATACCTAACTTCTACAAAGTGTATTTGGGTAGGAAATGAACCATGCTGTGTTCCCACAGCTCCCAGTTTGTCAAGAACATTGGGAATGAGTGGTCTCATTTCATTCAAAAAGGCAAAACCTAAGGAATCCCCTCGAAGGCAGCCTCTCACTTCGACTGTAGGACTTCCCCCTCCCAGTCAAGTATTTGGTATCGAAGGCTGGAACCAGAACCTACTACTTTATCTTTCACTTCAGCTAAGCTGAAATAATTACATATTCAACAGGCAGGCCCGTTAAAATAAATACTTCACCAAAGGGCATAATATTTGGAGCGGTGTAGGGTGATTGTTAAAATAGAGACTTGCCAAATATTTCTGTACCAGCACTACTCCTAGGCAAAAAGGATAGGTGTCAAACAAACATTTTCATGAGCTGCACAGTAAATAGTGTGGGTTTCTTTGAAAGTAAATCCCCGTATCAGCCCAATCTATTCAGTACCACTCCCAGCCAAGGATTATGGAATGCAGCTGTTGAAGGCAGTGGGGTTTATCTGATTTTCTCCCATTTTTTAAATCTGATTTCTTTTCATCTGATCATTTATCTGATCTGTAACAGTAAAGGCAAAACAGTGCTATTCCTGCTTTAGACTGTTCCAAGCTGCACAACCCCCATATATTTGGCTGGTCCAGCATCTGCATGTCCCCACCGCGGCTCCACGCCAGCGCAGATGTCCCTGAGAACTTCCCTTGCAATGTCTTGGGTTGGACTAGATGATCTTTAAAGGTCCTTTCTGACCCAAACCATGCTAAGATCCCACTTAGACTGCCCCAGAGCTTTCCTACTCCCCATTCAGAATGGCTTTGGAGGTGGGCAGCTGGAACAGCTTTACAACATTCTTGTCAAGGTCCTACAGGGCTCCATTGCAGCCCTCTAAGGACATCAAAAAAACCACCCAAACTTGAAAAAGTTGATATATAAACATCTTGGACTTCAGTCTTGTACAACAGGAACTGATAAGAGGGTGTAACCTTTACAATAGCATAAATTGCCATAACCTTTAAAATAATTAGCTTTTCAAAGTGTCTGTCTACAGCAATAGCTGCTCCTATTGTGCACTTAGTTACAGCTACAAATACAGGATTAAAGACGTACTAAAAAGAAAAATAAACAATTTTTGCCATCCATGCAATTTTAAAGCTTTTTAAAACCTCCAAAACCTGAAAGGCAGCTAAAAGTAATTCGGACTGAACAGGAACATTTAACAAAAAAGCCTTTTTGGCACATAAAAAATAAAATGTGCAAAGGCGGGATTAGTGAGGAGTTATTTTTGTAACTAAGATTTTTAGATTTGCTCCCCAGCTTTCAGACAGGGCTCATTTCCATCCAGGCTGCCTTCAAGGGCACCCACTGTCTCAGAATTAAAGACTCTTCCCACCCCACTTCTACCATGTACTTCCACAGTTCTGCTCTGTCAAGTTGCTTGTTAGAAATCAGTTGCTTATTCAACGCGTGTTCTTGCTGAGACAGGTCTTTGTCTTAAACACACTATTTTAAAGAAAATGTGCTGTTGGAGAAAGTCAGTTTGTTTCTTCTTCAGGACAGTCTCACGGGAGGGGTTAACTGAGGCAGAAACTATAGGACAGCTTTCTTCTCTCTGCTTATTTAAGAGCTCTAATCTGAGGAGGTAATCTAAATCCTGCTGAATGCAGTTGGGTTACACATGTCCAGCAGCTGCAATACCAAAGAGGAAAAGAAAAATCAAGCTTTATTTTCCGCTCTTTGCTACTTTGCAGATGTAATTAAAATAGTTTATGTAAAGACAATGACTGGCAAACTGGAAAAGTTTTCTCTGGATCTCACAGAGGTTGAAAATTTTGTCCCGATTTTTGTGAGTTACATTACCTGGAGTCACCTCTGAAAAAAGAAACTCGGCTCCTCCTAACTTGATTATTTTGCACATGCAGTAAAAAGTAAGATTTAACTAAAAAGGTTGGAAATAAATATGAAATGTTAGATCAGAACACCTGCACAGAAAAGAAGCGAAATCTCTAGAATCCTGCAACAAAGTACAGGGCTCAACTAATGTTACTGGTTTTTTTCTTTTCTTTCCCCTCCCCACCATGTCAAAACCAGTGGAAATTTCAGATTCTGTTCCATCCAACCCCCTGGCAAAGGAGGTGGCCAAGAGATTCTCCACACCTGATGCTAACCCCGTGTCCACAGAACCAGCCTGGCTGGCCTTAGCCAAGAGGAAAGCAAAAGCCTGGAGTGACTGTCCACAGATCATAAAGTAAACTGTAAAATTACATCTCTGTTGCTGACTATTAATTGCTTTCTTTTTATTTATTCAGCTTTTTACACACAACAAACCTGAAAATGCATGTATTGAAGGACTGAAAACTGAACTGATTGCCGTTTTGCTCTAGCTCACTGTAAAGTCTACTCAAGTCATATAGTCCATTGCTTTGACAAATAGCTAAACGAGGTCACGGCAAAAATTTCAGAGCCAGATTCTCTCAAAAACTTAAGTATGCTCAGATACTGGATGTAAATTTTAGCGAGTATCATAAAAAGGGCCAGAGCTTTGGTTCAGAAACTCTTTAGATTCCGTGGGTATTCGGTTCTGGAATTTTAGATCTCTGCGCTTAAGTAGAGATCTCAGAAATTTGCTTTCAATACTCCATTGTTGAAAATAAAGGCAAGATGCATGTTCCCTTCTCTTATTCCTAAATTATTTTTTAAGTGTTAAACTGTATGAACTGTCAGTTCTATCTGCTATTTGAAAGATCCTTCCCTCATGAAGAACTTGGGGAGATATCTTTCCACCTGCAAATGAAGAGTAGAGAGATGGCACCATCCAAAGGCTGAGGTAATTTCCTTCCTCACAGGATTCATACACTATGTCTGTATTCCCTCATTCCTAGGAAGAAAACAATTCATCATACCTAGCAAAAAACCCCCATTATTTAAATAAAAATCAGAAAGTTTTCAGAAAGAAGGCAGTGAGTCAGTGTTTCTTCTAGTCATTTAAGTGCATCACTGTTTGTGCTTGGCCATATTTAAGACGCACAGAGACAGTGATTGCAAATCATTACTTTGAATCAATCGACTGGAATGAAGATAAGCAGAACTATTCCTGTGCTCATGTAGCTGCAGAATTAGTCTCAGTGAGTTCCCACAGGAGTAAGAGTCACAGAGCTGAAGTTAACAGAGAACTTAAAATGAAGTCAGCAAGAGTCTCAGGAGTTTTAACTCTGGATTCTTCCTGATTTTACTCCATGTGCAACTGCAGGTAGTTCAGGTGATGAACTTGCACTTTGACCAACACAGCCAGAGCACTTCAGAAAGAAGTTTACTTACCCCATCTCAGGTATCTGCTGTGGCAATTGAACACTTTATTACTTCTTGTCACTAAAACAGAAATGGTCACCCCCTCCCTCTCACAAAAAAGGATAAAGTCCGTAATGTAATAAAATTTTTACTATGCTCAGCATCCCATAGAAATAGCAAGGTCTACACTTCAAAAAGTCACCCTAGTAAATAAACCTGTAACACACCTGACTTTGTTGTACAGGGAAGTCTTTAACAAACTTGAACATCTCCTTCTTATAACTGTAAGGCTCCAAGGAGCCTTTAAGCCCACAACATCATAAAGGGAGAGATTTTCAGGAGAAGAAACTGCATCATTACAGAATGATACCACATATGTTTCGTGGAAGTACTTCAGCCAAACTGCTGTATGCAGCATGAGAGGCAGCACTTTAAATTATTGCAGAAAACAGAACGAAACCTGCCAGATCCTCCTGTTCCAAGAATCAAAAAGGGCTCGTCAGCAAAAGTCATTACTGAATACACTATTTCCCACCAAACAGAACCAAAGGCTGCAGCACCACGGTTACAATAGCACAAACACAACGCACACCTTAGATGGAGTAGATGTGCAGCAGCAAGAATGGGCATTTTGGGTCTCAAGCCATCAGTTTTGCTCAGTTTCATATGTAAAACCAGAATCTCTACAGCAACTTTTTACCCTTAATATAAGTATTTAAAATGTTTTATACAGAGTCGGGAAACAAAACCCCACCTAACGCCTTCAAAGTCCTATCTCTGCAAGTTTAGCTGAAGAAAGAATTGGGCCCATAATTATTTTTGCTCTGTGAGCACCATGAATTAGTGCTTCTTAAGGTAAATTTACACTTTTTCTGAGTTTATAAGCTTGTAGTATGCATTTATAATTGCAAGAACTAAACTGCCTGAAGTCCATCTTTATGATTATTTCTTGGCAAAAGGAGCCAGGCAGAAATATGGAGAAGGTGAAGTAAATCAGGATTAAAGAATTAAAGATACCGGTATTCTGAAAAGCATAGCAAAATTAGGTGCTATTGTGCATGACATAAGGATGCAATTTTCCAATACAATACATTTATAGCACATAGGATAGAGCTTTCATTAAGGATGGTCTTAATCTAAAGCTTCAAAGCAAGGTTTTTTTCAACCATAAAGGTATCTAGTGTAATAATGGAAACTGTATTATGTACAGTACTTGGTGGAAACATTTCTAAAGTGTACATGTTCAACAGTGACATTTCATGTTAAATTTACAAAAATTTGCACTAAAGACCAATGAAGTGAAGTGTTACTTTGCTTTAGCTTTGTTGCAACCGTTTCTGGTAAAGTGTTGGAAATCTGTAAAAATAAAACCAAAACATTACTACCAAGTTGAAAACAGCAAAAATGTTTTAAGAACCGAACAAACCACTATGTAGTATATTGTCTCAATTTTTTTGTAACTTATACACACAAAATACCATTTCTTCTGACAAGGTTATATACGATTAACCTCTATGTTCATATAGTAATGTATAAAAGCTATAAGATGTATAATTGTGGGGTATCTGTTGTGTACTTTTTTAATTTTTCAAATGTTTTAAAGTGCAATTGTTTATTATACTAATGTCATTTTAATTCTTATTAAACTATAACCCAGTCAAAATTATCTAATCCATAATGTATGTATTCTGTGTCTCCTTTTGCTAACGGGGTAGTCCAGGTTTGCTTTATAAATAGAACTTCTCAGAGTGCTACAAGCATCCTGCCCATGCATTTCTGCTAACAATAAAATGGAGGAACCAAACAGATGAAGCAACACAGCCAGTGCAACTTCCCCTTTACTCATTAATTCAAGATGGTAGAATTCAAAGTAGATGGCTCGTCAGAGAGAGAGAGAAAACAGTTTCTGCTATAGTTTTTTTAGAAAACACATAATCAGCAAGATGCTCGCAGTTAAATGTACTTTTGTCACTGCAAATACTTGATTCGCATTACTCAGACCACTGGTAATCCTTTTAAGGCATTAAAAGACAACCAAAGACAACTTACACAACCCTTTTTTAATACTTCTCTGTAAAGACACTGTATAGAGCATTCATTCAAATCTCTTAAATGATTTGACAATGGTTGATCTGAGCAGTGCACACTGGAACTCATACTGTACCCATGATTTAAATTTAATACATATACACATATTCACCAAGAATTCAAGAAGTAACTCCTACTGACTTCAACGGAGTTTAAGCATCTGCTTGGCTGAACTTAAGCCAAAGGAGGGGCCAAGGCTCACAAAAGATGAATGATTCAGCTTATACACACTATAGTAAATAGGTCACTACTACCAGGTAGACACAACACAGGCTGTGTCTTCAGAAATCAAATTAAAATGCAGATTCAATAAAGGACTTGGGTTACCTTGCCACAGCCTAGAAACCTCGTGGGAGTAGACCAACACCAGTCTGAAGCGTGGAAGAGCCAGGCACAGGCCAGGAAGGACCCTCAGGGCACAGACGAGGCTGGACTCAGAGACAGGGACACATTCCTTCCTCAGGGAGACAAGAATGTTATTCCATGCTGCAGAGTATGGCACTTAGCCACAGCTTATCCCAATCCTGCAAGTGTTTCAAGTGAAACCACTGACTTTTGTTTCCTTTGGCTGGGTGCTGAGCAGCCACCCTCCTTCCATCAGCCCAGCAAGTGAACAAATATCACTTCACCTACTCTGGGCACTGCCCGGTGCAAAATGCCCCCCGAGAAGTCAGCAAAGAGCACTTCTTGCCTACAGTAAAATAGGCAGAGAGGTAGAGAGCACCTCTGAGTTCTTCATTTACAAATGTAAACAATAGAAAGGAAGCAGCCTAACATCATAGCTGTTCTTTTTTTCCTGTTATATACAAATCTAGGCAATAAACATAATCATTTCTACAGCCAACAACAAGCTTTGTTCCCCATACTACGGGGGAAGAGAAAACCTCTCCTGGAAGCTTCTCTACTCCTTCTGCTGTTCCGCTCTTGGCATTCAGGATCCACACTTTGCCATCTGTAGAAACTGCTGCCAAAAGAATTTTGTTCTTTAAGTCATTACTTTGAAAAACGAATGGTGTTCCATATACACTTGAAGTGGCTTCAAATTTCCACAGTAAATTACCCTCCACGCTACAACAGTAGATAAAGCCATCGTGGGAGCCAAAAAATATTTCTTGCTTAGTTAAACTTGAGATGCATGGAGAGGAAAACACCGGCCCATTAGTGGAGAACTGCCAAGCCTACAGAAAGAACATAAGCACCTATTATCAAAGGTTGTTCACTTTATCAGTTTCACAGCAACTGTGATTTTTAATAGACTAGTTGTTCGACGGGACAGCATTTTATTTCAAGAGTATACTAAATTTCAGCGAGGGCTGGTAAATACTTGTCAAATTAAAAGTTTTACCAATTTTTTAATAGACTAGTTGTTCGACAGGACAGCATTTTATTTCAAGAGTATACTAAATTTCAGCGAGGGCTGGTAAATACTTGTCAAATTAAAAGTTTTACACACAGAGTAAATGATAAAAGACTCATAAAACATGTGGAAGAGTTACTACCTTCTGTGAGACCCATGTAAAGATGGCCAGCTTGGGAAAAGAATATTCTTGGGCTGATGTACCACAATTACTAATGAACTTTGAAAACTGAACACTCTTTGCCAAAAAGGCAAACGCTGTCTTTGTAATATAGATTTCCCCTGCTCATGCTAATGATGTACAAATCCCTCCTCAAGCAGACAGAGAGCAGGCCATGGGCTAACACATATTTTATAACCAGAAAAGGCTTAGCAATTGGCCATGTATACTGCTTCTCAGGCAAACAAACAGAAACAGTGGCAGCTGTTTCAACACCAGACACAAATCACATTCACCTCTGAGGAATTAAAATTATTATTACTTAATTCAATGTGAAGGCTGACAGATATTTTGTCAGAATTATGATTTGGCATATCTCTGCTGTGATGTCAATAGTTTTTGATAAATACATAAATATTCTAAGAAACTTTAATTTTTAAATAGCCACCATCTTACAGAAGAGATGGCTTTAAACATGCTTGAAAACTCTGAAAACAAAACCATACCATTTCATTTGCTGGTACTACTCTGGACCATTTACTTTAGGTGTAAACTCTAAACTAGAAATGAAGCAATTTGAGAGTCTGCAGTTTATTTGTAGTTTTGCCCTGAACTACCCTAGGCAAACAGTTTTTCTACTTTCTCCTCTCTATGACAATAAATAGACACTTCTAAAAGGTACATGTTAATCACTAAACCTCAGAAAACAGTATTAATAAAGCATCTTATTCAAGGTTTTGTGATGAACACAAAAAAACCCACCACCACCACTTTTACCTTTTCTCCAGAATGAGTGTAACAATATAAGTTTCCATCCACGCAGCCAATGCAAACATAGTTCTCATTGCAGTGAGGAGAGGAGAAGAGAGGTTTTCCCAGGAAGCTTTTCCAAATCTTATTCCCTGTCACCTGTAAATGGCAGTGTGGAATATCTGATGCTTAACACAAGTGTAAAAAGCTGCACAAAACAGTCCTTCCTTCACAGCTTGACCCAGAATCAGGGGAAAAAACCACAGCAACCCAAAACCCACAAAAAAATCCCCAACAAAATCCCAAAAGCAAAGAAAAACAGGCTTCTCCATTCCAAAATGCATACCAGAAGGAAAACTACTCTTCAAATGTTATTCCAACAATATATTTAGTGTTTTCCCTGGGATACTAAATACCCCTGTTCCAACCTTCTCTTCCTCCCCCTAGTCAAAATTATAATAGTGTAGTTGTAGTAGGAGTTTTAATAAACTACAGATTCATTTTCATTCCATTCCCAGCTTCTCAGTATGTGACGAAGACCAGCGAAGGAGAGAATATCTTGAAAACAAGTCATATTGGTTCATGTCTTAAACTATAAATACTGTAGGAAACACTGCAACCCACAATCTATGATCGTCACAATAAGCTCCTAATGTGGCCTGCACGTTCCTATTTTTATAAATAATTACTTGGAGTTACAGTTGGGCTTCTCAATTACCTGTTACTCAGGATTATGGAAAAAAATAATATCTGGTTTTGCTTAACCCCAGCCCACTAGAGCTGTGAACCCACACACTGGTCTTCTAACAGCAGGTTGGGTATTACTGAGGAAACTTCTAGTGGGTGGGAGGTAAAGATGGTTAGGACTGATGGTCTGGGCTGTGTGAGTAGAAAAACATGAACAGCTGCTCCAAGTGACTGTTCTTTTTATCAGGCCAGACCAGCTGTAAGCCAACAATGCCTCAGAAAACCATGAAATTGCTCCACATCTATCAAGAATGCCATTTCCCCAGTGCAGAGAACAGAACAGCAGTTCAAGATTCAGGGGGACAGCTCTTTAAATGACTACGGGGAGGGAAACGGTAAGAGGAATGAAGGGGCCTCTTATAATCTCTTCTATTCTGATTTCAGTAAGTTCTGTGTGATTTTTCTTTTTTTGAATCCTACTGTCAAAGAGAGGGAGGGGAAAAAATTAATCTACAGATATGCTCTCAGTCACTAGTTTAACTGATAAGGTTGAGAACAAGAATGGGAACCAGAAGACACTGATTCCAATGTTGGCTTACAGTCAGCATGTAAATTCAAGCAAGTCACTTCAGTTCTCTATCACCAGATAGCTTTCTGAAATACAGGAATTATTATGGTAACCTTGTGTATAATAATAAGGCCCTCAAGTGAAAAATATCTCATGGTAACATATGATCAACTAGTTCCTTTCATCAGAAAGGCAATCTTAACTTCAGAAATGCATTTTTGGTTTCATTTAAATTTGAGATTGGGATCAAAGACAAGTAAGCAAAGGTACATACTGGGTTTACCGCCAATAATAGTCCTCCTAGAGTAGCAACATAAAGATGATGTGGAAAAGAACTTAGACAAGGAGATGAAAACACAGCTCCACCTTCGCAATGTAACTTCCATATACAGGCCTTTTTCTGTAAGCACAAGAAAAAAAGAGAAATAAAAAAATTTTACAATTGGAGTTTAAGTATATCATGTTTACAAAGACCTTTGAATATCAGAGCTTATCAAAAAGTGCATTTACTCAGCAAATACTAGTCAAGAAGTGAAGATATAATCTACATGATATTATAGCAACACATTCACCATCGGCTGCTTCCTTTTCCAGCAAATAAAAGAAATTCAGTTAATGATGAGGCAGCATCTGCACCTCTTATTTTACATCTCCCTTTATCTACTCTTTTAGAATGTAAGATTCCCTCTAGCAAATAAAAGAAATAAAAGAAATTCAGCTAATGATGGGGCAGCATTTGCACCTCTTATATCTCCCTTCATCTACTCTTTTAGAATGTAAGATTCCCTCTCCACCGTTAAGTTTTATTTCCAGCTGGGCACCCTATTCTGAAATACCCACAGAAAATAACTAAGAAAGTTAAGATTTGGGTTCAGCGAGGACTAGTAGCACAAGAACCAGTGGAGAACACCACTGAAACTATTTACCCACCACGTAATCATAACCCCACTTCAAGCAGGCTTAACTATTTCAAAAGTGTAATTGCGGACTCCTGAGAATACTAATGCCAGTGGAGCCCCATCTAGTGTGCTACAAACGTTCAAAAGTGTCATTGTGGACTCTGAGAAT